ACCAGACTACACAGCGCAACAACCCAGAAGACAGAAATCTTCATACTCTGATGATGGAGGCAGTATGACCTCTGAAACGTTGGTTAACATCGACCAGACTACACAGCGCAACAACCCAGAAGACAGATATCTTCATACTCACCGCTGTGAAAACCTCAAATCTTACAAGAACATATATTTTTGTCAGCGACCTTCTTCGTATATTTGTATCATACTTTCAAAAACGTGTATAGGTGAGAGTAATACATTGAGATTCAAACGTGAGTTTGAATCACTGAACTGAATTAAACTGCAGTTACTCTATCACGAACTTAAGTCGTTTCTACTTTGAAATATCCCGTCTTCATAGGAGAAATCAGACAGTGTACAGTTCCAGTGACGTCATGTAGTTTGCCCTGCTATGTATTTGTCAGTTTTAATGTTTTATTTTACTGAATTTTTAGTCGTGAGTTAAATATCTCATCCTTTGGCCGTGTACGTGACCGTCTCGACATTAATTCAAGCAGTCACGTGAAAATTGTAAAATTGCGCTGTAAACTTTAAGGAGGAAATATTGTATGCTCGAACGTATGACGTGTTTAAAGTTTATTTTAATTTTCTCATCTTTATTATTGCCTGTAACTTTTAACCACGTTTTAATTTCTTACTATAATTAAATGATGTACTATATATGGAGCTGTATGGTTTGGCCATAACAGATGTTATTGATAATCCAGGGTCATCCGGAAGAGGATTATAATTTAATTGGATGGATAAGGCAGTTGATATATTACACATATTTTAATAACAGCTGTGTATATTCTATAAACTCGAAGACTAAAAGAACACACCATAAAGAGATAACGAAGTCCTATTTATTAGTGAGAATGAAGGACATTTCATTTACTTGGTCACATGAACTCCACGTGATGTGTTTGTGGTAGTTTTGTAATAAGCAAATGGTAGTCTATTTTTTTTTCAGAAGATCAAAATGTGTGTATTTCTATTCGAAGACACAAACTCTGACATCATACACACATTTCATACGTACGCACGCACACAGTATATTATATATGACAGATAAACTGAGTTTTTAATTTTGCAAAATGTTTCTGTTAAGTCCTAACTCGTGATGATTTAGTCCGTAAATCGACTATGGACTGGGCGACCACTCTCTTAGCCATCATTTCCATATTGGCTGTGGTGCCGACAATGTTTCTTATCTTATGGGCGCTGAGGGCGCATTCCCTGGAGGTTAGGCGGTCGGTGCGTGAACCTAATGACACACCTCTATCTGGTGCTGAGATTAAGAAGCGTTGAACTTTACCTCAGCATCCGCTGGACACCTTTATTACTCCCCCATCTCATGCTCCTTGATTTAATCATCTTAAGAATAACTAACAAA